GAGGGAGAGGGAGAGGGAGAGGGAGAGGGAGAGGGAGAGGGAGAGGGAAAAGAGGGAGAGGGAGAGAGAGGTATCGATAACCAGAGAGCTAGGACCAGGAAATTCAATGGGTATTGTCATAATTGGTTTATGTCATGTGGTTATATTAACCAAGACGGAGGTAAAGTCAGGTGGTTGCTTCCATGTTGATGAGGTCATCAGCCAAGATGAGAGCAAGCCACATGGTTCCTTTTTCTCTGACAATGTGAACCCATCTCCATGGTAAAGTGAGCCCATCTCCCCTCAGGTACAAGTTCCCATGGGGTCCACACATCTCACAGATTAAATGTAGATCTTTACATCGTTTTTTGAAAACAGACACTTTAGTTAATTAGCATGGATAAAACAGGAAGCAGTTTTATGGCCTTAGCAGGAAGGCCGTGTACTGGCTGGTTTTGTGTGTCAGCTAGACACAAACTAGAATCACCACAGAGCACATCCTGGGTTCTATGGGAAAGCAGGCTGAGCAAGCAAGTGTTGCAGAAGAGACAGGCTAAGAGATACAGGTGCTTTGGGAAATCCAAAGATACAAACGCTCGTAATTTTCTAAATTTTCCTGAAATGTTGCTTCTTCAGGCATCGTGGTCAGGTTTCACCCTAACCAGAGTGAGATAGCATGCTTATTCATGGGGAATAGGCCATTAAGGGGCACCCCTCCATGGCTTCCTCATCAGCCCCTGCCTCCAGGTTCCAGCCCTGCTTGAGTTCCTGTCCTGTCTTCCTCCAGTGATAGACTGTGAGCTGGAAGTGTAAGCCAGAGAAAGCCTTTCCTCCCCAACTTGTTTCTGGATTATTATGTTTCATCGAAATGATAGAAACCCTAAGACAGGCCCCATTTAACAAAATAAAGAAACAGAAAAATTTCATAATCTCATCTCAGAATAGCTATGATTTTTTGAGGTTTTTTAGATAGTTTTTAGAGAGGGAGAGAGAAGAAATTTAATCACTGTTTAATTTTAATTTAAATCAGGTGTTGGCTTGTCTCTTAAGTGTTGCAGAAGAGACAGGCTAAGAGATACAGGTGCTTTGGGAAATCCAAAGATACAAACGCTCGTAATTTTCTAAATTTTCCTGAAATGTTGCTTCTTCAGGCATCGTGGTCAGGTTTCACCCTAACCAGAGTGAGATAGCATAACCAGGCCTTAGGTTAACAGTACAGTTTTAGTACCTGTCTACGGATCTCTAGTCACCAAAAATCTTCATTGGCTTCTTAGTGTACACAGACATCAGAGTTAGGACCTCTGAGTGGACCTTCATTGATTGAGAGAAGAACATAAAAGTATCAGCCCCATCCCAGGATGAGGGAAAGGTGCCAGCAGTTTAGCATAGACACTTTCCTGACCTGATTTCTTACCTTGATGAGTCAGTGGTCCTCAAAAGAAATCTCAAGATGAGGTCCCCCAAAGTTACCATCTTCACAAGAAATTTGAAGACAAACCTCCAAAGTGATACAGTCCAGGAGTCTGGACCACTTATGGGTTCATTTTTCACTGCCATACCAGGAGAGACGTCCAGAGGGCCAGGAGAATGAACAGAAATATGTAGCAGGGGGTGGGTAGAGTAACCACTAGAAAGTCCCAGATGCCAAGGATGTGAGAGGCTCCCAGGACTCAATTGGGATGACATTAGCTGAAATACCCAACAGCGGGGAGCTAGAAGCTGCAGAGACCACATCCAGTAGATAGACATGGCCCCCCAGTTGAGGGATGGTGTCATCCACCCATCTCAAATTTTCTAACCCAGAATTGTTCCTGTCTAACAGAAAAGAAATGCAGGGACAAAAAGTGGAGCAGAAACTGAAGGAAAGGCCATCCAGAGATCGCCCCACCTTGGGATTCATTCCATCTTCAGACACCAAACCCGGACACGGTTGCTGATGCCAAGAAGTGCTTGCAGATAGGAGCCTGGTATGGCTGTCCTCTGAGAGGCTCTGCCAGCTCCTGAACAATACAGATGCAGATACTCACAGCCAACCTTTGGACTGGACACAGAGACCCCAATGGAAGAGCTAGGGAAAGGACTGAAGGAGATGAAGGGGATTTCAATCCCATAGGAAGAACAATATCAACTAACCAGATCCCTCAGAGCTCCCAGGAACTAAATCACCAACCAAAGAGTACACACGGAGGGACCATGGCTCTAGCTGCATGTGTAGCAGAGGATGGCCTTGTCGGGCATCAATGGGAGGGGAGGCCCTTGGTCTTGTGAAGGCTTGATGCCCTAGCATAGGGTGAAGAAGAAGTGCCTCACAGAGGCAAAGGGGAGGGGGAGGGGGGAGAGGAGGTGTAGAATAGGATGAAGGATTTGTGGAGGGGAAACCAGGAAGGGAGATATCATTTGAAATGTAAATGAATAAAATGATTAATTAAAAAAAAAGGAAAAAATTCACTTGCTGTTTTGTTGTTGTTTTTCTGAAGAGGATTTTCAAAGGAAGAAGCAGGTAACAAGATTTTAAGATGTTCTGCTAAAACAAAACCTTTACCTATTTACTAGCTTTGTCTGGTAGAAACCTGGTGACCACCATTTGCTCCTACCAGCCTTCTTTCCATGGTTAGGGAGAGAAAGTCCCACAGCAGCATTTTATAGGCCTCCTCCTATGGATTTGTTTATTCTGAAGAATTTGTCTCCAAAATTTTATCTATAAATTCCACCTTAGAATTTTTAATGTTAATTCTTATCATTTTCTTTTTCTTCTTCCCTACTTACTTTTATGCTCCAATTTCATTGTCTTGCCTCCCATTCATTAACCATTTATTGAAACTTTTTGTTGTGCTGGTCATCGAATCTAGGACCTTATACTAGGCAAGCACTTTATAACTGAGTGACGAGCCCCTCTAGGGAGTTTTATTCTTAACCCTACAATGTTTGAGGAATAACAATTCAAGTTTAAATGGTGCCTGAAGAGATTACTTGTTCATATGTAAAATAGTTTACTGCCAAGTATTTATTGTCAGAGTTTATTGAGAAGAACTGTGTTTCTTTGTATAAAGATGTCCTGGGAAGCCTTACAATGTCCTTTATGTTAGTAGTAGCATGTGTAAGAGTTTTAGGTCACAGGCGTTTACACCCAGTGTGAAGGCTCGGGTGGCAGACTGACTTTTCGTGGATCCAGCCTGGTACTTTATATAGCTTGTTATGTAATTGGTTATCTAATCTTTTAGAGTAGCCAAAAGAAAGGTTGTTAAAACAATGATCTCTCAACCTTGCTTTCTTTTTCCAAAAACAAACTTACAGGTTAATCAGCATATCCAAAGTTTCCTTCTCATTAATGGTTTTTAAATTCTAGGAAATGGGATTCAGTACATGCCGATTGAGATTTTATTTTAGGATTAAATTCTTTCTTTCCCATTTTCTGATACTCATCTATTTAAACATACTTTTTTTTTTTTTGAGATTTTCTTACAACATGGAATATTTTGCTCTCCTCCTCTTCCAGTTCCACCCCCCCCCAACTCTCTTTCAAATGTATGGCCTCTTCTTTAACCATTGTTACATAAAAATATGTGCATATCTAAATGCAACATACCGTGTCTGTTTAGTGGTTCTCCTCTATGTTTAGGAATGCTTGGGTTTGGATAATTTGTAGGAAGCTCATTCCTAGAGGAGCCTGATTGTCCTTCTCTTAGGAGCCAGTAATTGCTCTGTATCTAGGACAGTGGTTTGGTTCTCAATCTGTGGGTCTCGACTCCTTTAGGCGGTTACCTAAGACCTGTGGAAAAGACAGGTATTTACACTAGGATTCATAACAGTAGCAAGATTACAGTTATGAAGTAGCAACAAAAATAATTTCATGGTTGAGGGTCACCACAACATAAGGAACTGTATCAAAGGGTCACATCATTAAAAAGGTTGAGAACCACTGATCTAGGAGTAGGCTCTTGTAAGATTTCTGCCACTCATAGTGACATGTCCTCTGATGTTGTGTGGGTTTTATTTAAGCAACCATATTTTTGAGATTTCATGGGTTTCATAGCTTTCCTGACACAAATGACTCTAGTTCACTGGAGATGTCCTGATCTTTTGGCTCTTACAATATTTCTGCTCCCTCTTCCTCCGTGGTCTATGAGCCTTAGAGGTCAGAATTATGTTGTAAAGGTATCAGTTAGGGTTGTGCAGACCACAGTTAGTTGTTCCATGTAACTGGACCAATTGTGGATTTTGTGATGGTCTCCGTTTACTATGAAAAGAAGCTTCTTTGGTGAGGTTTGAAAGCCACACTGATCTATGAATATAGGATAATTATCTGAATGCAGCAAGACATTATACCAGTTTAGGAGAGGGGAAATAGTAGGTTCCCATGTAGATCTATGACTTTACCAGCCATGAATAATTGGCTAGGTTTATAGCACCAGGGATGAATTCCCTCCTATTGAGTAGGCTTTACGTCCAATTGGATGGCTATTGGTAACCCCTATGATATAAACGCTACTCTAGCATCTTTGAATATATCTTGCCATGCTGCTTATTGTGTGGCTGGTCAGCTTTACAGCTGGGGAGGTCTATTGGTTGCTCTTCTTGTTTGGTATCTGGTATAGCATCTTTTAGACACTATGAGAAGTGTTTTTCAGAGAGGAGGCTTTGAGGTTAGATCCAGCTTTATTTCTCTGAGACCCATGTCTGCAGACTGAAGATTTCAGCAATAGGGTCATACCTTCAAATTCTGGGAGGCACCCAAGGAAAATGGCAATAGTCTGTATTATTTTGGGGAGTCTCTAGTTCTCTTAGCAACTTGGAAGAAGGTCCCTGACAGGTTTGTTGTTGTTGTTTTTTTGTTTTGTTTTCAGATAATCTATGGCTTTTGTGGAGATTGTTATCACCTCAAGTGGCATAACTTCATCCAATATACGGTACGTATTTTAAGTAAACAGAAGATACGTTCCCCTATGCACTTTTGAACATTCTTCATGTTTTTTTTATCCCTCCTCCTTCTCCTTTCCAAGTATGTCCCTCCCACCCACTGTCCCCTTCCTAGCCTCCTATCCTATTATCCTCCCTGTAGAGTGCCACCACCCCCACCTAGTTACTTTTTATTTTCCTAGCTTTTGCTGTGACACCAGCACAGCTAAAGATTCACACCTATGATCTACAAATAAGAAAGAACACGAGCATTTGCCTTTCTGGGACCTGGGACAATCAAAGCAGTGGTTTGACTAAGCAGTTTACATTTGTTATATGATGCAGCTCCTGAACATTTCTCCAAAGGAAGTAAAGTTAGTATAGAAAAAGATGTCTGCATGTCCATGCTTATGAGTCGCTATGCCTAATAGCTGGAGTATTCAATCAGGTGTCCCCAATGGATGAATGGGTAAAGCAAATTTAATATATACACAATAAAGTTTCAGTCTTCCACAAAGTAGAATGGTGCTGTATCATGGAAACCTGCAGGAGAAAGTTTGGTCTTCTTAAGGAGAAAGGGGATCAATGGTTTTGGTTATGATCACATTCTTAAGCTATGAGGCAGGTGAATTAGGAGATAGATGATGATGATGTAAGAATGTGGTGTGTGTATTTGTGTATTTGTGTATATGTGTACATGTATGTACACATATCATGTATGATTCTCAGGAATTTCATCCACTTGTTTTGAGACATGCAATCCCAAAGGCTTGGAGCTCACCCCTCAGGGTAGACCAGCAGACCAATGAGTCCAAGGGTCTCCTGATTTCGGCCTCTCCAGGGCTAGAATTACAAACATTTTACAGGGGCTCTAGGGTCGAATCAGGGCTTTGGCTTGCAAGTCCTTTGGTGAATAAGCCAACTCTCACATCTGTTCACTATTATTATTGTTGTTGTCATAAAAATTTCTATAAACTATGCCCTCATTAAAGTAAATCTAATTATTCAACTTAAACACAGCACATTGTATTACGTTTCTATCCTTGTGTCAGAAATCAATCACAGGAAGTGGGAGATATTTAGAGAATTCATTTGTATAAAGCACTTGTCTTCAACTCTGATACCAACTAAAAAAACTTTAAGAACATGGTGGTACACACCTAATCCCAGCACTCAGGAGGCAGAGGCAGGCTGATCTCTGAGTTTGATGCTAGCCTGGTCTACAAAGCAAGTTACAGGATGGCCAGGGATACACAGAGGAAACCCTGTCTTGAAAAACTCAAACAAACAGACAACAAAACCAAAGAAACTTTAGGGATGGTGCGGTGGTTCAGTGGTTAATAAGCACTTATGGTCTTCCAGGGGGATCCATGTTCAATTCCCAGCACCCACATGGCAGCTCATAGGTGTCTGTGACTCTAGTTCCAGGGGACATGACACTTTCACACAGATATACATGCAGCCAAAACACCAGGGCAGAGAAATTAAAAAAAAAAAAGAAGTATTTTTTTAAAAATAATATGCATAGTCATTAAAAAAATTTTAGGTTCATGATTATTCTGTAACTTTGTTGGTGTTACACACACACACACACATCCATCATTCAGAAATTTCTCTTGGTGTCAAAGGAGCACTAGTCAGTTCCAATAATGGATGATAAATCATGGTTGTTTTTATTTTTAATACTTGGATTAACATTTTAATTTGGTCTCTGGATCAAACACAAATAATGAAAGACTGAGAGATATTCTCCTAGTGACAAAATGACAGTCTTTACCGCTGTGGGGAAAAAAAAAATCAGAAAATCACATCTCTTTCTTTTCAGGAAGTATATTGTTGCTCTATTTGTGGTTAGGAAACCATAGAAACAGTATCTGGAAACATTGCTGGAACTAGAAAACTTAACTATTTTGGGACTGATGATTTCAACTCCAACCAGAGCCGAACCCGTCAGTCATCTGGAACTAGGGTGAT